ACACACGCACACACGCACACACACACACACACACACACACACACACACACACACACACACACACAAAGACAAAAAACCCCACAGAAATAGCACACACTAAAAACTAAAGTGCTGTCCTGACAGGTTTAAATTTAGACTTTTGAAACTTTACTTTTCTAGACTTGTGTAATTTTATCCAATATAAGCCTGTCATTATTTTATGCATTTAGATATTCTTTTATTGATGGTCTGGCTGGATCAATATTAACCTGATCAGCAACTTATACATCTGATGTCATGATGGAGAGACATGATTGGCTCTCATTGTGTGATGGAGTAATGTAATTGGCTCTTATGTCACGATGGAGAGATGTGATTGGCTCTTATTTAATGATATAGTAATCTGATTGGCTCTTATGTCACGATGAAGGGATGTGATTGGCTCTTATGTCACGATGAAGAGATGTGATTGGCTCTTATTTGATAATATAGTAATGTGATTGGCTCTTATGTCATGATGGAGAGATGTGATTGGCTCTTATTTAATGATATAGTAATCTGATTGGCTCTTATGTCAGGATGAAGAGATGTGATTGGCTCTTATGTCACGATAGAGAGATGTGATTAGCTCTTATTTGATGATATAGTAATGTAATTAGCTCTTACGCCATAATGGAAAGATGTGATTGGGTCTTATGTCACGATGGAGAGATGTGATTGGCTCCTATGTCATAATGGAGTGATGTGATTGGCTCTTATGTGACAATGGAGGGATGTGATTGGCTTTTATGTGCTTATGGAGTGATGTGATTTGCTCTTATCCCATGATGGAGCGATGTGATTGGCTCTTATGTGATGATGGATTGACAAGATTGGCTCTCAAATGATGACGGAGGGATGTGATTGGCTCTCATGTTATGACAGAGGGTTACGATTTGTTCACATATGATGACGGAGGGATGTGATTGGCTCTCACGTTACGATGTATTAATATGATTAGTTCACATGTGATTGCAAAGTAATGTGATTGGCTCTCATTTCACGACGAAGTGATGTGATTGGCTCTCATATCTTTCTTATCATGATGTGATTGGCTCTCATGTCATAACAGAGTGTTGTGATTGGCTGTGTGATAATGTGGGTGTGTGTTTCCAACTCACTGGAAGGCAAAAGTGCTGCCGTAGAGTTTCTTAGCAGTGCGAAATCGAGCTTCTTTTGCCGGCGGGCTGCTCAACAGCAAAAACTGATGAGACGTGTGCATGAACTTCAGCTGCTATAAACACAAACATACAGCAGAATTTCAAGAGCTTATAAGTCTAACAGTGTTTATTAACAGTATTTAACAGTCTTACCCTACTGAGAGGCAGCTTGACTATATGAGACCGGTTACTGGAGATAATCCTGCACAAAGACATCCAGATAAACCAAACCCATTCACTGTGGTGAAATCACTGTAATATCCGGCCTGTTTATTAACTCACCACTGCAATAACGGATGAGCCAGAGGATCCAGTTTATCCATCTGCTTCTTAATCTCCAGATACGAGCCCTAAAACACAAGAATAGTTACAGCAAACTTCTGGCCTTTATGAATAGTAAATAAATTATTAATGTCAATGTCAAAAATGCATTTATTTCTTACAAAATCATAAATTTAAAAATAATGTTGCTTTTAAACAACACAATGCCAACGATTTAACTTCAGAAATGAACTTATGAAATAATTAACGAATATATGTCAAGTTATAACTTATATAATATATACAAAATATCAATATTTGGTGGAATAAATCTGATTTGCAGTCACAATAATGACCGGAATAAACAATTCTGACCTATTTTAGTTACCTTACTATATATAT